GAAGACCTGCTTTCTATCACTGATAAAGGTCTTAGCTACACCCCGACTAAGTACTAGCACTGGTTTTCTATCACGGCTTAAATCGTTTAGCTGCAGACTATACGCTCGACTGAGTACCCATTTTCCTATCTTTTTCTACGGATAAGTCGTGGCGGGTAGTTTTGACAATTTATCAGGCTCAAAGTTCCATTCCGTAGCGTTTTTTATGGGGACCGGCTTCCCGGGTTTCCAGCGCACTGGAACATAGTGACCGTAAATAATTTATTTCTCTGTTTTCGTCGGTTTATCCAGAATGATCTGCACCAACTTTTCTGAAACAAATCTTTTATCGCTAACAGTCTTCTCTTCATATCCAATATCTTTGTCGATAGCAGTAATCTCTAGTGGTAGTACCCAGACTTTCAAATTCTTCTATGTGGCCTGGAGGTACAATGATTGAGTATGTGAGGAACGCTTTTCTTGGAATGCAAGTGATAGAGGCAATCAAGGACCTACATTTTGGTTTATACCCGAAGAAAGAAAGTAGAGGATGCAAACCTTGATTGATGGTTTTGCATGATTTTAGTTAATAATATAGAGGGATGGAATTATGGGATATTCCTGATTCTAACAGTTAAATTAGGGGAATAAAAATATGGAGTATTGTTTATAAATAATGGAGTTGGACTTGGGAGAGGGCAGGGTGGAATTTACCGTTGTAATCGGCCTAGTGGCTGGTCAAGGTTCAACCATCTGGAACTATCTGGGGTCCTGTATCCGTTTTCTTCCTTCCATCCAATAAAACTCAGATCCTACTTGTATAATTGTTATTTCTTTTGTTTTACCGCTCTTAACTCTATCAGAAAGAAAGATTTTTTTAATCTTTTCAAAACAATCAATTTCAAGTCTTGAATGTTCTCCGATCCTTATAAATTACCGAGGCCTCTCTGTTTAACCTGATTACTTCTCATTATCAAACAAAAAGATAACTGACTGACTTTCTCAGAAGTCCGTGATCTGCCCATTTGTGAAAACAAATGCCTAGCAGCAAATATCTTGAAATAGTCCAATAACTTAAAACTTACTGCACAAGTTTTACTCTTTATCATGGTACTATTTACAGAAGTTTACAATAGGACAACCATATTAGACTTTACAATTTTTTCTTATGAACATCTTTACTGGTTTTAAGGATGCACTTGTGTTTATTTTTCCCACTTTATTTGACAACTCTGTGCCATTATAAGAGTATTGTCAATGTGACAAAGGAAATGTTGGTGTAGTTTTTGATGTATATGTAGTGCATATTTTATATTTAGGTGATTTAGGATTCTATGGGCCCAATTAGGAGGGAATAGAATATCTAGAAATGCCAATTAAATTTTTAAGGAACAAGAATTTGCTTTACTGCAGAATATTTATTTTATAAAAGCATTTGCTTGTCTGGATCATATATATGGGACTTTTTGCACCATTTTGATGCAATGCACCATGCATAACTTTCTTGATCGGGGATGGTAGTCAGAAGCTTTGTTTGCATGAAAGGCATGTTGTTATCTCGTTTTTATGTTTCCTGGTGCCATGAATTTGGGGTGCATGCTACATTTATTATTTTTATTGATACACTTTAAGATTGTTTTCGTTTCATATGTGCAGGATGTATGGCAGCTTTGGATGCAGAACATTACCTTCAAGAAATTGGTGCTCAAGTGGGTAAGAGTGATTAAGTATTGAAGCTTATTGATAGTAACTCTCACTGAGTGTTACTGACATTTCAATATATGGAAAGGATGGACCAAGGGGCATTTTTATTTTAATATTCATGTTTATTTGGACTGTAACAGTTGAAGAAAGAATTGTTATTTATCTATAAGTTTACGGTTACTGACTTGCTGGAAATTGTAGTTGTCTTGTTTTGAACTTTCTTTTTTCTTTTCTTTTTTTTTTTT